GCTTTTAATAAGTTTATTTTTGTCATCGGTGATTTGCCTATTTAGATGACACAGCTGTGTTCCTTTTGTCTGTTGAGATTGAGGATACACTAACATTTAAAGCTGGTCCAGACCACATGATTCACTGGCTGTACCAAGTTTTTTTGTACAAAGAAAATCCCAGATTTAGAGATGTGATCTTTCTACTTAACAAAGTGCAGCTTGTACAGAGAAAACAAGAGGTCCAAGACCATCCATTTTGTCATGTACAAGAATTTAGGCCTTTCATAAATCAGCAAGATATTAACATGAGCTTTTAAATCCTACTTATAAATCTGAGGGATTTTTGCTAAACCAGTGTTTGTCTCAATTTTGAGCTCCACTTGGACAGTAACACAAGAAATGTGTAAGGACGTTCTGTCTGAAAAATGTGAACTATGGTCAGAAGCTACAAGTTTTAAAAGCCACAACTTGGAACCTTGTTTAAGGTAGTTTCTGACCTCTGTTGACCTCTGCTGAAGACCTGAAGGATTCATTTGAAGGATGACATGCTTCTCTTCTGGCTGTGGTAAAGAAACCTTTTCAAATCATCTTAGTACATTTAAACCCACATGGTTGTCAAGCTTGGTCCCTTTAGGCAGGTTACTTCTGGGCTGGATAAACCACACAGGAAGAAGGCAAAATGCTGCCTTGCACTTCCTGCAGGGCTGACATAAACACTGCTCATGCTCCCCACACACTCACAATGATCTGAGCACTGTTAACACAAAAAGCCCTGAGGAATGTTACAGTAGTTTCCACCAACAGGAGCTTAGCAGCACCGCTGCACTTGATGACCAAATATGGGAATGATCCTTTATCCTGAAATTGAAGAACAACAGCATGGCCACTTCTGACCCTGTGTGTCCTTTCTTAGTCTTTGCTGGTGTCAAAATAAACCCGTGTTGTCCACGTTTGCAAAGCAGGAACTCAGGCAAAGTTTTAATCTATGCTTTAGTTTTAAAAAACAAACCTTCTGCGGAATCTGCAGACCTCTGACTTGGCTGTGCCCCCAGGTCAGTTGTCATAGTGAACATGGCAGACACAGAAGAAGCAGTGGAGAGATGCATCGATCTGAGGGACTTTGACAAGGACAAAATTGTTTTGATCAGACGTTTAAGTCGGAGCATCTCCTTAGCTGCTATGCTAGATGGGTGGCGAGTACCTACTGACAGTGATCCGAGGAGGGACAAACCATGAAGCAACTACAGGGGGTACATCCCAAATCTCTTGTGTCTTGTCTTTGTATTTTAGTTCCACCCACGTAAGATGCTAGGAAAATGTGAGGAGAGAAGACTTAAGGCAGCACGAGATGTTCCTTTCCTTAGATCCTTTTCTCTTCAGATCTGATCATCTGAAGCGTCCACTCACCAACTGATTTCTGATAAAGGGGCATGTCAGTTCATACAAAACATCTGTGAAGGATGTTCTCATGTATGCTCGCTCATGTCTCCTCCAGCAGTCTCCTTGCTCTTCACTCCTCAGAGCCGATATAAGAGATTCGGAAAGTCTGAGGACATAGGAACTACTGTATCTTATAAGAGATTTGAGATGTACCCGAGGTGTTGCACATTATGCTGGAACAAGTCAGGTTTGTGGTGGCTCCACTTCACAGTTTACAGGTAACAGATACTAGGGCACCTTCAGAGGTCGTGCAGGGTCCATGCCTCCAAAGGTTGGAGCTGCTTTGGCAGCGCACTAAAGACCAAATTAGACAGAGGTGGTCATAATGTTTTGGCTCATTAGTGAAAGCTCCCTAAAAAGTTAGTAAATTAGCATTAAAACAAGAACAGAAATAAGTTGTAAGTTGCCTCAAATGCAATACAGGAAATGGCAGCAGCGCAGCAGGAAAAAGAATCAGTCAAAGGCACAAGAAAACAGTTTTCAGTTTAGACTTGAAGTTAGCTCTGGTTTTGAATGTTTGTTTTTATTGATGCTAATGTTTCTCTTTGCCCATGTAAAGCGCTTAGAACTTCCTCTATGTGCAAAATGTGCGACATACAGTAAATAAAGCTGCCTTGCCTTCTGTGAAGTTGAGAAACTTGCTCACAGTTCACTCACAATGGTTCCACAGTCCAAAAGTGAACCATGACCCACCAGGAAACCATTGACTTGGGAAGCATACTTACAACTTACTTTGGTCATGAAAAGTCACAACATTTCAGAATCCTAATACTATAAGGAGAACAAGTCATAGTGAACTGGCATTTTAACATTTTATATGAGATCCAGAGGTCCCTGCTGAATCCTGTGGATGTATATACAATGTCAGAGGTGTCATTTTTCTGTAACTGAGGGTTCTGTTTTCTTTTGAGAATTTTGGCTGGGTGCTCTGAAACCAAGATGACTAAATGATTGTGGGTTACAGTGTTTAAATCCAGTCTCTGCAGCTTTGTGGGAAGATGCATACACATAGACAACCTGCAAACATACAGTCAAGCCCATGCAAACATACTCAAAACTTTCTTTATTGTCTTCCAGTGAGTGGTTAGTGGGTTGGTGCAACACAAAAGAAAAGAGTGTGTGCTTGTGTGTGTTGTCTGTGTAAATTGCATGAGTGTAAACAGATTCATCTGTAGCTTAGCATGTGCTTTTTTGCATGAGCTCCTGAGTATTTCTGTAAGTTTAGGTGTGCAGACTCTACTTGAACCTTCTTTGGGATGTGTTTGTCCCAAAGAAGTCAGCAATTTATGATGCTGCTCCAGTTGATCTGTGGCCTAGTTGCTTTGTTTGTAGGGTGACAACTATGTCCAAGAGATTCAGTTTAGACTTTTAGGGTTTTAGCTGCCCCAGACTATGTGTGCGCATGCATGTTTGTTTTTGAGCGATGAGAGAAATTTCTACTTTTTGAGGTTGAGCAGCTGGACTAGTTTGGGGGTGGATCATGGCTCAGAAGAAGCTGGCTGAACATGTCCAGTTATCAAAGCACCAGCAGATGAAACAGGATGATGACACATCATTTGGACTGTACTGGTTGAGTTGGCTGCTATGGCTCTGATATTAGATGCACATGCTCTTACAAATCTCCCTCCAGCTGAGATTGTGTGGTTCTAGGATATTAGAAAATCTCTGTATTTGTAATCCTTCCTTCCCTTGTCACATATTTCTCTCTGTTTCTCCCAGGTTTAAATACAAACTTGCCACCCATATGCACAAACACACAGTTACTCACACACAAAGACACACATCTTCACCGTTGGCCTCCGTCACTGCCATAATTCATACAAGCTGTCACTAAGTTGACTGTAAGAGGGTTCACTGTAGCTAAATGGAATTGAGTTAACCAGAAGATCCAATTCAGGTCTTAAGTTGGGCTGGATCCAGATTCTCTCTAATCACACTGGATCCCCTTCAGCTGAAGCTGGCCAGAACTGTTTTAGCATGTAAAACTGAAGTCTTAACATCAGGTAGGAGGCACTTTAAGGTCCTTTAAATACAAGTTTACAGTATATAAGACCTTATTGGCTACTCCAAAAACCATTTGCAGATAATTAAATTACCGCAAAGTCACTGAATTTAAGGTTGCATTAATTGCCACACACACAACCTGGTTTTTTTAGGACCTGCTGAGGGTTTAGAGCTCCAGCGCAGCACTTTGTCCAGTTGGTAACTGGACAACTGGGCGCAGCACAGGTACGTTCTTGCACCACACAACACTTAGAAATGAATGGGTTTGATAGTGAACTGCAGAGCCCACCAGGTCCTATCTGAAAATGGCTTTCAGCTGGCTCACGTAGCTTCAAATAGTTTCAAACTGCCAATTCAGATTTATCGTTTCCGGTAGGGAACAGTGGGGTTTATTAGCAAATTACTACTTTTAATGACTTGAACTGCCTTCCAAACTAATTCTGTGTTCTGTTGTAGATAGCACCGCTAATTTAGCTAATGTGGCCGTATGTGAGGAAGATTGTCAGAAAGGTTGTAAAATGTGTATACATGTTTTGACACATTTAATTATCTTAAAATATCAAGCATAATTGCTATTGATTTCAAACTCTTACTTTAGAAGATAGCCACCAAGTCAATGTGACTCTGTGGCACTGCTCCTAATGTTTGGAACTATTCAACATTGCCATGATCCGCCATTACTGACGGCCCTTATAAGGTCAGTGGAGATGTCGTCGCCCTCCTTCTTAATCCACTCTGAGTGTACCCAGATCTCTTTCAGATCAGGTCTGGTTTTGAAAATTAATGTATGGTAAGTTTGTGGAGGCTTTCGAGAGTCAAACAATCTGAACCCATACCTACAGTATAGTAACAAGAGAAATGTAGTTAGAAGCTTTATTTTTTTGTTGTCGTTGTAACATTGTGACATGCACAATAGAATTTTGTTTGGCGCCGAGAGCCCCGGGCCGCTGCGTGCATACGTGCTGCCATCACGGGCAACTTGGGGGGTTCAGTGTCTTGCCCAAGGACACTTCAACATGTGGACTAAAGGCACTAAGATTTGAACCTTCAACCTTCCGGCACCACTGTTGCCCCCCCAGACAAGCTGGTTTAGCATTTTTCCAATTCCAAACTCCCAACATCCACTTCCCCCTTAGAGATGTAAGACATACAGTACAGTGGAGACATGTAGTTAGACTCTGCTTTTTGACAGACTGCGAACAGATAGTGATGTAAATGCGTTTTGCATGATTCGTAGACAGGTGTTTCCTAGAACATAAATTCATATGCCACTGTGCATTTTTATGACAAACTGCCATACACTACTGAAGTGGCCGTTTCTTAGCAGCCTGCTTCTTTTCACAGACTGATGAATAGAGGTTGATTTTTGTCAGTGGAGTGTCTAATTTCTTTTTTCAAAGACCGTTTCAGTTCCACTTAGCTGTGAATGGATGATTACACTTCATCAGCACTGTTCCATTATCAACACAT